TGTATTGTCTGCATGTATGTGAGTGCACCTGTGTCATGCAATGCCACGGAGGTCAGAAGAGGGCTTCAGATTCCCCTGGAACTGGAGTTAAGGACGGTTCATAGCTGCCATGTGGGTGCTGGGAATTGAACCCAGGTCCTCTGTAAGAGCAGTCAGTGCTCTTAACCACTGAACCATCTCTCCAGACCCACTTTTTACAATTTTTAAATATTTTATTATTTTTATTATTGTATGTGTATGAGTGCATTGCCTGAATGTATGTAAGTGCACCTATGTTGTGTAATGCCCATAGAGGTCAGAAGAGGATGTTGGATCCCCTGGAACTGCAACTACGGATGGTTTTTCAGTCACCATGTGGGTACTGGGAATCAAACCTGGGTCCTCTGGAAGAACAGCCAGAGCTCTTAACTGCTAAGCCACCTCTCCAGTCCCCCTTAATGACTTATTTTATATATCTCTCAACTCTCACCAGAGAAGTTTCTTCTTGCAACTGAGACCCACACAGAGATGCACAACTGGTCAGTATGGGGAGGATAAGAGACTCCACAGTGCTCTACCCTAAATGGGACAGCTATATCACATCCTTGCCTCCAAAGGTTCAGGGCTCATTGCAGAAGAGGGAGTGGAAAGACTGTAAGAGCCAGAGATGATGATGAATACAAAGAAATTGTGTTGTCTGGACACTACAGAGCAGTTTCACATATGAAGCAACAGTGCTTGTGACAGAGTACATAAGAATTGCACAAGCCCAATCCAGAAAAATCCCAGTACGGAGTGGGGAGGTGGGCAAGAAGTCCCAACCATAGCTGAGAATCTATTGACAAACAATAGTTCCTAAGAAAGTCTGAATATGACCAAAATACATTGAATGAAATTCTCAAAGAATCAATAAAAATATTTTTTTCAAAGTTTTTCAAACTTTTTATTTTTATTTTATGTGTATGCGTGTATTGCCTGCATGTAGATAAGAGCACCCATGTTGTGCAATGCCCATGGAGGTCAGAAGAGGCTGTCGGATCCCCTGGGCTGGAGTTATGGACAGTTGTTAGCTGCCATGTGGGTGCTGGAATTCGAACCCAAGTCTTCTGCAAGAACAACCAGTGTTCTTAACTGCTAAGCCATCTCTCCAGCCCCAATAAAAATATATTTTAAAGTCTCTCATCTTTTTCATTTTCTGTTACTATTCATATTTCATATATGAATTTGTATGTATGTCTATACTGTATATAATATCTATACTACTGTGTGCCAACTCCTGGAATTATATAAAAATGGAAACAACTGGGAACTACGAGATGAGTTTGAGCTTTTGCTCCTACTTAAAACAATACATAATGGGTCTTCACTTCTATTCTTATAGAGTCTCTACTTTTCTGACATTTGTGCTATTAACCCAAATCAGTATTGGGCTTAGTAAATGAGGGTCATATTCTTTCATGGAGGGGAGTAAAGCAAGAGATTAGATTGTAGTCTCTGTACACCTATACATGACATTCTGATATCATCCTGAGCATTTTCAACAGCTACATGGAAAACCCTCCAGTCTAACTAGCTGTGAAGTTCTTTGAACTCATTCACCTATGGTCAAGTTCAGGCAAGCATTCCCTCACCACCTTCCAGATCTGCCATCATTGAGAATAGTCTCACTTTCAAATCTTAAATTCAAATGCATTCCTTTCTGATTTTCTTAGTTTCTACCTGACTCACTCTGCTTTTCCCATTATATTTCCTATTTACTTTTATGGCTTTTTAAAGCCAGGTTCTTAATTTTCTCCCAAATTGTCCTCTTTAGACTCCACTTTCATTCCTTTTATAAAGTCTATGTCTCCGCACTTAGGCCATTAGATTTTTCTTGAATGAGTTACTGCTCTGCTGCCCCCAAGCTCATCTAAAGCATGAATCTCAAGCTCTTTCAGTGGCTTTGCAATGCATCGAAACAAATATCATACAATTTAACACACTGGTCTTACACAAAACTTTGCTTCTATCTGGAATGTTTTTGTTGTTGCTGTCCTCTGCTCACTCCCACTTTTCTTTCAAGTCTCTAATTTTCTATGGCGAAGAATCCCAACATTCCTAATTAGTCAACTCTATGTACTTTTGTAGCATGTGATTTACATCAACATATTATTTTATATTGTGATTTCCTGCATTTAAATGATTTCTTGGGAATTTATAAGATCTTCATGAACTGAGATTGGGGGCTGGAGAAGTGGCTCAGTGGTTAAGAGTACTGACTGCTCTTCCAGAAGACCCAGGTTTGATTCCCAGCATCCACATGGCAGCTAAAAACCATCCATATCTCCAGTTCCAGGGACACCCTCTTCTGATCTCCACGGGCACTGCATGACACAGGTGCACTTATATACATGCAAGCAATACACTTATATGCACAAAATAAAAATAAATAAGTAAAAATATTTTAAAAAGAACAGAGATTGTCTTTATCACCACAGAACAATCTAATACACAACAGGCATTCAATCTGAGTGAATGAATAGTGCTGATAACTCGAAAAGGTCACTATAACTGAGTAAGGTGCAGTTACTCTGAGATCTAAGTTTAGTAGAATAAAATATGATAAAAGTATATCAGAATGTAGAAGGAGATAGAACAGAGACAGAAAGGATTACAATTTTAAGTACAGTATTCAGCATAGGACTAATCGAGAGGGTAACAGCTGAGTAAAGATGAAGGAACAGACTTAGACCTAAGTACCAAGGCACAGGGAGTGGTTAATGCAAAATAAGGAAAGCATGACTGGCATGTGTAAGGAAGGAGGTGCATATGGCTGGAGCAGAGTGAATGATAAAGAGATTAGTTCAAAGAAGCAACAAAGGTCACATTGTGCAGCTATTGCAAGACTTTATAAGGACTTTAGATTTATGTAAAATGGGGTGGAGGGTGCTGAAGAGTAATGGATAATCTGTCTCCTATATTGAGAATGGATATTCTGTCTCCTATATTGAAAACTGGAAATTATAAGATCAGTAAAAGCAAAGTCCCAGATGAGGCTCCTAAAATGGTTAAGGATGAAGCTTAGTGGTAGAGCACTTGCCTAGCATAGGCAAAGTCCTGGGCTGGATCCCAAGCACCTAAAAATAGTCTATAAAAAAGAAGAAGATAGTGCTAACTCAGAGTAGAAGTGGTATAAGCACTGAAAAGTTGTCAGACCTGAGGCATAATTTCAAGGTAGAATCAAACAGACTTTCCTGAGGGACTGGAAGAAAGAAGCAGTGAAACGGAACAGAACGAAATAAGACTCTAGAATTTTGTTAAGCCAGATGGAGTTGACATCTGACACGGGGAACACTGATGGAGGAACAGTTTGTAGAACTGCTTTATAGGTAACATCAGTATACACTAAATACTGATGTTTATTAAAAGTCTAATCAAGTAGTAAGATATTGGCCTGGAATGCATAGATGAAGTCTGGGCTGAAAGAGCAAATTTGGGGATCAAATGGCAATTTATGTTATCAAAAGTAATAAAGCTGGATGAGATCAGCAGCAAAACAAGCATTAAGTATTGGTAGAGCAAAGAAAAAGTCAAGGACGAAGTCCTGGATACTCTAATGCTAGGAAGTCAGAGAAAAGAGCTGGAGCCAATACAGTAGAAAGGGGAGAAGCAGTGACACAGAGCAGTAACGAAATGTCAGAAGGACAAGGAAGCAGAAGACTACAATCAGCTACTAGGTTTAGAAATATTCAAGACATCTGTGACTTGGTAAGAGCACGTCAACATTATGATGGAAGCAAAACTACTACAAAAGTGATTTGGGGAAAAAATCAGAAGGCATGACTCAGATTCAGTATGTATGGTAAATCTTTGGGAGAATTTTTTCAAAGGGCAGTAAAGACACGGGGGAAATAACTGGAAGGTGGCTTTTTGTTTGTTTTTAGATAGAAGGATGTTTGCAATCTTATGGAAAAATCCAGAAGAGAACAAGTTAGAACAATCATACATTTATTTATGGAATCATAAAGAATTAAGACGGGTAGGACTGGAGGTGAATGAAGAACAGTAGGTTTATAGCTCAGATACTACAGAATATAGGCTGTAGTTTTTACATACAAAGGAGGAAGAATGACCTGGAAGGAGTACTGGAGTAAAAACTGATCAGTCTACTTCCAAGTCCAGTCCTCAGTGTCCAAGGTCAAAACAGAAGCTCTCAGGTTACAAACACTAGAGGAAGCAGTGGACTCAAAGGAGGGCCAGTTTCCATTAAACCAAAAGGTAAAAGTGGAGACAGGAGGATCGTAAGTTTGAGGCCAGCGGAATCTGCACCTTTCTAATGTTTGATTAGGAAATGTCTCTACAAACTCATGTGTTTGAATACTTGGTCCCCAGTTGGTGGCGCTGTTTAGGAAGGTTATGAAGGTTGAGCCTAGCTAGAGGAAGTCCATCACTGGGGTGGGCTTTGAGTTTCTGTAACCTGGTCCCACTTCCTGTTCTTTCTCTGCTTCAGGATTGCCAAATGCAATGTGATGGGCTGGCCTCGTGCTCTGCTGCCGTGTCTTCCCTCACGACCGAATGTATCCCTAGAACTGTATGCTAACATCAACCCTTTCTTCCCAACATTGCTTTTGTCAGGGTATTTTATGACAGTAATAGAAACAAAACTAAGGCAGTGAGGAAAAGGAAAATTCAGTGAAGCTAGTGTAGAAGCGATTTGCTGATTACGGATTATGAATTTGTGAGGGAACAGAGTGGTTGGCAGGGACAGCATACGGAACAGAAGGAGGCTATAGATTATAATGTTGAGTTTTAAGGGGTTGGCGGCCAACTGATGAGGAATGACATGAGAATGTGAGGCTTCTCTCAGTGATAAACAAAATAAAGATGAAGACCATAATTGATAGGGCTGAGGTCAGTCTTTTAGGAAATTCATGTGATCTCTACACATGAATTTCTGATCAAAAAGCTTACAACTTAAAAATATTCCCTACTCTACCAGAGAAGTGAGCTAATTTTTCACAGCAGATTTTGGGTTTACTTACATCTGTGTTGCAGGAGCGATATCGTTTCCTTTCCCCAAGGCAATATTTTCCACCTCCTGAAGGTCTGAAAAAAACATTTTGTTCAACATGTGATTATAATACATCCATCCACACAAAGAATATGTATGTTGTTTGATGACAACACATTAAAGTTTAAAGTGTAAAATGTGGTATTTTATTTTATTTTATTAAAACGTTCATGATGATAAATGTTAGCAATGATTATGATCATTCAAGATAAAATTAAAGTAGCATATGTAAATAATTTACAAGACTTAATTATTATGATTTACATTCTTAAAAATACAATTAAATTAGCATATTAATGATCATAGTACTGTACTCAGTTCAACACAATCAGTTTAAAAGTCATTTATCTATAATGAAAAGCCATTTATATTCAATAAAATCTGTAATCTTTTCATTAAATTGGAAGCAAAGAGAGAACACTAAAAAACTTCTTGAAATAGATTCAATTCTAATTAATAATGCAGAAATGAATTTCTATCTCATTTCAGATACAAGGTTTTAAAAAATTCTAAATGAAAAGTTAAGATAGCTTTGCATCATGTCTTTATATTATGCCCAAATTAACAACAAAAGATGTTAGATATTTAATTTGTATAAGTTAATCTTTGAAGTATCTAGAATTAGGGAAGGCCATATGCTATCATTTGGAGATGCTATTACAAATGAAAAAAAATAATCTTCCTCTTTTAAAAGAGGTCCAGGTCCCTTATATATCTGAGTGTTTTAATTTGTCATAGGGGCTCATATTTTGGGTTGTTAATTTACAGCAGCCTATGCTGAATTTAGGTTAATTATTCTTACACTTGCTCCAAAAAAAAGAAAAAAAAGGATCAAGTTCTCTGGTATCAATGAAATAATTAAATCTACATTTGGAATATATTCTGTATGTCAGTGAATGCTAACTCCAATGAAGGAAAGGAAATGTTCAGCTTGATCCAACTTGGAGAGAAAGGAACTGGTCATACAAAAACAAAGAGGTGGAGATGGTGATGATGAGTTTATAAATTGGTAACAGGAAACTGTTTAGTAGGAGGGTCATGACTGATAGAAAAATGGGAAAATGGAAATATAAAAGTAATACAAAGGGAAACAATTTTCAGCTAAAAAGAAAAGCAGCAAGGCATTTGGAGAGAGAATAGCAAAAGTTCTGCATTAAAATGAGAACAAATAAAAACATAGATCATCCTTCATCCCAGAGGGGACAGGAAGTGCACCAAATGCAAGTTAGTAAAGAAGGGCCTCAGCCTCAGTTCTAGACAAAGTAGATGCTTGGCATGAAATGGCCAGAGAGGAGTTTAGTCTCAGGTAGAAGAGGGTAAGTGCAACTAAAACAAGAGTCCACCTGTACTCCACCTTGGTGGGAAGAAGCAGTAGAGATGGCAAAGAACACTGGCGGGGTTGATCTTGCCCCATGGGGACTCTGGCTAGAGAAAAGAGTAGTGAGAGAGGAACAGTGTGACCTGCAGGAAACAGTCACGGGGAGAAAAGTGGTGGCAGCTCTGGAAGATGATTAATGGGGGCATGTGAATGGAAACTATTTTAACACATGGGCAGTATTCTTTTCATTGTGATTTGTGATGCGAATCAAGGCATTTCAACCCTTGAGGTGCTCTCATTGGTCCTTTTAATACTAATGTGGCAGTAATAATTTTATGTGACATGTGAAAAGACTTTAGTTTTCCTGGGAATAATGGTAATGTAGCAAAAACCAGACCTGGATTCATCCATAATTCAGTAGTTTTCAGAGGAAGAAATCTAACTGATCTCTAGCTTATCTGGACAGATAGACAATGCTTTTCTATTTTAAAAGTTGGGTTTTTTTTTTTTTTTTTGGTTTTTTGTTTTTTTTTTTTTTAATTTTTTCATACAGAATGAAGGAAAAGGAAGAAATAGAAAGTCTGCCTAGCAAAGCTCCTCCACTTTACTGGGCCTATTGCTTGTTCTGAAGACAAGCATTTGGCTCACTAGAGAAACGTTTTTACAGATAACATGTGAAACCACAGCTTTGAATCATTTCCAACTGTGTCTTTTTGTTGGCTCCGGCTTACTTTAGCTACTTACGCTGGACTGTCACAGTGTCTTAGGGATGAGGAGACGCCGCCCCCGCAGGTCCTGCTGCACTCTCCCCATAGTGACCAGGAACCCCAGCCCCCATCTATGCTCTGGGGCCAAGTGCCAAAAGGAACACAATCTCCCTGATAACACCACTGCAAGATTGCACAGAAAACATAGAATTAGCTTTTAGGTAGATAGTGCTATCAGGAAGAGTATATGAAAATCAGGTAATGATCAATTTTAAGCCTTAGCATTCTCAAAAAGAGATAACAGTTTTTAACTGTGCTTAAACAATGGTGAAGGTGCATGTGATTTGCAAACTATCTTTAGCTAGGCCATGATTTATAATCTCAAACATGTACTGGTTCAAAGAAACCTGACTTTGACTGTTTTTCTTTGTTTCTCTTCCTCCAGACTTTTAGTGTTTCTCATTATAGAGTTAGCTACAGACCTCAAAATCATTTTTAGATATTTTAGCAATTTCTTTAAAAAATTCTTTATATTCCAGTATTATTAGACTTGTGGAATGATAACACAATATGGAAAGTTCCCCAGTAAGGAATTTTTATGATGGTAATTGCTCTTTCTTTTTTTTTTTTTTTTTCATTAAAAAAAAAAAAAAACTAGTTGAGGCTACAATAGTAAAAGAATGCTTTGTGGTATTTCATCTACATGAGCACTGCAGACATAATAAAAGTAATGCCAAAACACTAGGGACTGGGTACAAAAAAACCCTTATATACATTGACTAGGCATGTGTAAGGCCCCCGCATGAACATGTGTACTGGAATTCTGCTCAGCTTTACTCTGTGCAATAAACCACACATACTGCACCTAAGGAGAAAGCCAGGAAGAATTTATCAGGATGCAGACATCGCATAATCAGCTCATAACTCTAGCATGATAAATCTTACTTGCAGTATATAGCAAAATAAAAGTCTTCTTCCAAACCAAGCATTTGTAGGTTTTGGTGCATCTTTGGGAATTATCAAACATTGACAAATCAAATCAGTGCTATAAAAGTGATTTGTTTACTTGCATAACAACAGGTAACATGATTATTAGAGTGGAATAAGTATCAGGAATATTAGATAATTAAGTAAATAATTCAACCTTATTGTAAAATATAAAGAAATTCTGATGTGTGACCTTAAAACTTAAGCATTTCATTGCACTAACTCTATCACCAAGCTTGTTGATTTTATCTCTGAGACATATCCAGAATTCTTTGAATTTTCACCTTCTTTATTGTTACCACCCTAGACCAGCAACTAGGAACCAGACTAGCTTCTTGCTCGGACACTCTGCCTCCATCTTTTTCTACTAGAACTTATTTTACAGAAAGAATTCAGAGACATCTTTTAAAGACACATTACTACACACTGTCACTTTTTTGCTTACAAGACCTCAGTGGCTTCCTATACCCCTGAACTGTGGACTTACTAATGGAGCCCTTGCATCCTTCTTCAGCCTCCTTCTCTCCTCTTCATTGAATGCTGCAGGCATGTTTGTCTTTCATTCTTCATACACAAACCTTGTTCCCTCATTAACACATTTGCTGGTCCTTCAGGTAACACTCTCCCACCAACTGGTCCCACAGATCAGAAGGAGACATACATGCATGGTAGGTTCTCTAAGCTGAACCATATCTCTAGTCCTTTTATTATTAATTAATCAACTAATTAGTTTAGACAGGTTCTTGTCATGTAGCCTGGTCTGACTTTGAACTGGTGATCCTCTAGCCTCAGCCTCCTGAATGCAGGAAGTCCAGGACTGCACCATCACATCCACCCTCCAGTTCTTTATATACCTGTCTTCTCATCATTTGGTCTCAGGTCAAATATCATTTCTACAGAAGTTTTTCCTGGATACTCTTACTCTGGTCCGGCATTCCACCATCTTTTCTCGCTACAGTACCCTCCCCCTATTCAGGATGGAATAGTAGTTATAGCCTCCATTTCAATTCTCTTAACATTCAGCACTACTTTAATTATCTTTCAAATTACTCCTTTTCTTGCTCCTTCTCCTTCAAATGAAAGAAGCTTGAGAGTAACACAGCTACTGTTAAATTAATTAAAAGAAAAAAATTCAGTTTCTCAGACCCACCAGTCACATTTTAAGGGCCATAGAAACATGTAGCAACATGTTAGAGCTAGAAAAGAACATTTCTATCATGATAGGTATTTTATTGGAAATGATAAATGCTTATAGTGCTACTTGATATCTAGAAGACATGGAAAAATGTATTGGGTGAATTAATAAAGTTGATTATAGAATTTTGTGTCATGTTTTAGTTTCTGCAGGTCAGAAAGGAACTAGAAAAGATTAAGACAAATTTATATTCCTTTTGCTGCCATTTCGGACTTCCTTGAGTTATTATTAGCAGAGAACTTTTTTCATTTTTTAAGGGATAAAAGAATAGTGAAAGCCAGAAGACTGAACAACATTCTCCAAAGTATTTAGTAACACTGCTAGAGAGATGGTTCAGCAGTTAAGAACACTGGTTGTTCTTGCAGAAGACCTGGGTTCGAATCCCAGCACCCACACGGCAGCTAACAACTGTCTGTAACTCCAGTCCCAGGGGATCCAACAGCCTCGTCTGACCTCCACAGGCACTGCTTAACATGGGTGCACTTACCTACATGCAGGCAATACACACATACACATAAAGTAAAAAAAAATTAAAAAAAATAAATAAATAAATTTAAAATATTGCTATACATGCTCACAAAATGTAGGGCAGTGAGAAAAATCACACAAATTCTCTTGTTTTCCTTTGAACCTTATTTTTGGACTAAGGTAAAGTTCAATGGTAGAACAGATGCTTAACATACACAATACTCTAGATTCAATACCCAGAATACACATGCACGCAGACACAGAGACACACACACACACACAATTTTTAAATTTTTGGTTAACATACAAAGAATTGCGCTTCATTATGACATTTTCATATATATATGTATATGTAAGAATGCATGTGTATATATATATATATATATAATTGCAGCTTTCACAATATATATCTCATTATTCTCTCTTGGTACATAAAGAAACCTAATACACAATGACAAACTTCTTAAAGTAAAAGATAAATATGCTGTTTAGTTTATAAAATGCTGCTCAATTTTCATCAGTTGGGAGGGGAGCTTTGGAGACAGGATATCATGGAGCCCAGGCTAGTCCTGAACTTGCTACCTTGAACTTCTGATCCTTTCTCCATCTCCTGAGTATTAAAAGTATCAGCATGTACTACGACACCTGGCTTTCCCATTATTAATTAATATCTAATTTCACAACAGTTTCCTAGATGAAATTTTACTACATAAATTCATGCTTTTTATATCTATTTCATGGAGTTATAATAAACAATTATGTCAAAAGTTAAATAACAAGGATGAATGAACAAAAAATTCACAGTAATAAGGTTCACTTACTTCACAGGTGATCAAGCTAGTCTTCAACTTAATAAGTATCAACAACTTAGAATACTAGTCTACAAATTAACAACTTAAACATCTGTAGGAAACTTTATATTACAATTCTCAGTTCTCATTCTAGTAATATTTTAGGCTCCAAAGCAAGTAATTCGATATTTTTTGTTTCCTTAATTATAAAATGGGAATTAATTTTAATTCTTGACTCCAATATGGTTTAGATTAAGACAATTTTACAAATTAGTTAAATGCAGACACACGTTCAAAGAATTAAAATCTATCAAACAACTTGTTTGGTTTTGATCTTAGGCAGAGGTGTTCTCTTATGTTCTGTGTTTTCACCCTCCTTTGCTTTTATCTTTTTGGAATTCTTGCTACATTTTTCTCTTGGTAGTAAATGTGTTAATGTAGTATATTATTATAAAAGAAGAGAGTTATTTAATGGAATAAAAGGGATTTAAGAAGCTCATATGAGAGTTTACATGGATCAAGTGATGTTTGTATTACTCAATAATTTGAAGATTTATTACACATAAATCATGTGTAAAACAACTAGATTACACAAAATAACTTGAAGTACATTAAGACCAATAGGCCTCTAAAGGTGAATCTTCTGAGTGCTGTATCATCTACTTTCATTCTTTCTCTTCCATGAAATTGTCAAAAGCTCTGTTTCTACAAGCATTCTTACCTCACTTCTTAGTGTAAGAAAGTCAAACATATATACTCCAGCTCTCAAGGGTGATGTCCAATCTAGTAATTTTGGATGGTTCTAACTAATAGTCTTACTACTACCAGCCAACTTATCTAGATAAATTGTGTATTTGGTCTTTCTTATGCTAATTTAGGTATATTTATAAAGATTAAGGAAAGGTAACTAAGTGTGTTGGTTAATCCCAGCACTTGGGAAGCAGAGGCAGGCAGATTTCTAGGATGTTGAGGCCAGCTTGGTCTATATAGCCATCTGGGACTACAGGGTGACTGGGTCTCAAAAGAACCAAACCAAAGGAAAAGAAAAAAATATTGAAAAAAATGAAACCTCACACTTCCAAATTAAATCTTAATTTATCTTATTTTATACATTTCTTTTAAATTAAATAAATGTGCTTTAAACATTATCTAAAAAGCTTTCTTAACAAAACACTATTCATTACTAAACTACATTACTTATTACTGGATTTCTACATTTTATAATTCCACAAAATAAAATTTCAAAATAAGTATACACAGAATATATAAATGATTTTTTTCTGTTTTTCTTCTTTATTTTGATAGAGTCTCACTTTGTAGCTGGGCTGGCATAGAACTCATTTTGTAGCTCAGGGTGGTCTAGAATTAATCAAGATCTTTCTAACTCAGCTTCTCAAGTGAATTATAGGTGTGAGCCACTATATGAGGCATTTTATTTTTTTTACTAAAACTATATAAAGATGTGACTGTGGTATATCTTGTAATACCCAGAATTGGATCAAGTCAGCATCTAGAATGAGAGAACTCTCATGAAAAATTCTAAGGTTGTAAAGGAAGCAATATTGGTGATTTAACACAGAACAATCTTTTCAAATCAGAAGAGCAGAAGGTTGGAACACATCACAACTAAAAGATTTGGCTTTCTTCTGTGCAGGTGTGGGAAAGCTCAGGGTACATTTCAGCCCAAATTCCCCATTAGAACCTGTTATCCCATAGTATTGAAATTTCTAGAGCATTCAGAA